TGTTAGAGTGTTGCAACTGGATTTCATTGTTCTGAAAGGTTCTTTAATTGAAGAAATAGGGTCCTTATTTCATTTGAGGTTCTTAAGCATTCATGCTTTGGGAAAAGCTATTCCAGTGTCGTGGTTGAACCTCCAGAATCTGGAAACGCTGTTGATCGATACACATTATTCCACCATGGTATTACTGCCTAGAATATTGCAACTGTCAAAGCTGAAACATGTGAAAATTGACATGAGTTCTTTCTTTGAAAAGAAAGAGGATGTCCAAAGTAGAATATTGGAAGCTGGGAATTCTTCAAACTTGACAACTCTATCGGGAGTTGTTATCTCATATTCTGAAGGCATGAGTGATGATGCTCTGGAGAAGTTCCCAATTCTTCAGCACCTTGATTGCATCATCATGGAATCGCAGTATCCTCCTACACACGACTATTGGTTTCCCAAGCTTGATGTACTTAATAAACTCGAATCACTCAAAGCAAGATACGAGTGCAATGGATATCCCTCGTTAATCCGACAACCCAATGGATATCACTTCCCTACAAGCTTGAAAGAGTTACGGTTGACTGGTTTTCTCCTGAGACCTGATTTGTTGTCAGTAATCGCAGCGTTGCCTGAGCTTGAGATTATGGAGTTTTCCAGCTGTAAATTCGTGGATAAGAAATGGGACGCAAGTGAGGACATCTATCTAAGTCTTAAGACTTTGATTTTGCGAGATGTCCAATTATCAGAATGGCAAGTTGAGAGGGAAACTTTTCCCAAGCTTGAGAAATTTATACTAAAACTTTGTATCACACTTTGGGAGATCCCTTGTGCATTTATAGATATAGACACTTTAAAGTCCATTGATTTAAGAGGCGTTAGGCGTGAGCTTGGAGATTCAGCCATTGAGATTAAGAAAAATGTAGCAGATTTCACAGGAGAGGACAGACTTGATGTCCACACATCATATTTGATTGGCAACCAACGAGAAAAAACAGAGGATGAAGATGAGGTAACTAAGTTCGTTTAATTTATATAATTTGCATTTGTGTAGTGTGTTCGTTGAAGTTGTTAGTAGTAGAGTTCATTCTTCTTCCTGCACACACTACCACAAAAACAAACTTTTATTGACATTTGTTTAGAGGCAATAAACAAATCATCCACTGATTTGACTAGTTGTAACATTATGAGAAAATTCAATGGATTTGTTTTGTATTGCAGGTGGAGAATACTTAGATCCTGAATGTTTGATTTGTGCTAGCATGTTGAAATATAATACTTATACATAGTTGGTGGAGTGATTGCACTGATTCTCGTGGTTATGAATCGCAGTGATTGATGAAGTTGGACAAATCACAACAATGAAGAACGAAACAACGCAACGCCTCCATCTGATTACTGCTTCCAATAAACAAACTTGTTACTGGTTTTTCTCATTGCTGGTTCTGGACATATTTTGATCTAATTTGTCGTGTGTTTTCTTTCCTGTTTTTTTGTTAGTTATGAATCTTATTTCGTCTGTAATCTCTCATATAAGATACTAGTTTTGTTTTTTTTAATTGGAAGGTTTCAATGCCAAAAGGCAACTAACTATCACTATTGATATGGACAGTTAATATGATTACTACTGTGCCAACAAGCACTGTGGTGGAGAGGCAGCACTCTCTGATCCTTAATCAGAGGTCTCGCGTTCGAGCCTTACCAGATATAAAATCGCCTATGTATGTCTTACTCCCAATGTGAGACTTCCTGAAAAGAATCTAACGAATAATGATAAACAGGGTTAAAGGTTTAAATAAACTAAAAAATATCAGCACTGTCCCAAATCTGTACTTATATGTAACAAAGTATCATACTATAATTGTACAATAAGATGGTCAACTAAACAAA